GGCTGACGACTATCAGTGTAGCTGGTTGTATCGTCCTGTGCCTGATTCTTCAACTCGATTGGGCTCGTCAGCTGAAAAATCGTTAAGAATCAGTCATCTTTTTTATTAACGCCGGATAGTGACCATTTACCAATTTTTACTCAAAAAGAAGTTCCGCAATTCAACTCTTTTGGAAAAGGACTAATTCATACTCTCCTTATTTCCTAGCTTATTTTTTCCATAGTTTGCGGAGATGACACGATAAGAATGCCACTGCTGTCGTATTGAAGGCCGAGATTTCGATTCAGCCTGTGAGGCATCAAGCCCTTCATGATTTGCAGGTTTGTTTTGACGCTATTCGATGTTGGCAAGCCGGGATGCCACTAGCTTGCTTTTAACGAAAGAGGAGAGCTGTCGACAGCCCTGGGGTGGGGGACCATTGACGGAAGTGCTTCTGCTTTTCATAAAGAGTGCATAGGGAAGAAAGTTTGCTTACTATTATTATTGTTATTATTACCATTACTGCATGTTATTGTTACTTGTGCGTTTTCGCTTATACGCAAATGCAAAAAACACATATTGTGACGACCCCGGTGTGTGTGTATGTGTGTGTGCGTCTGTCAGGGTACTTCAACTCAGCACCCAAGCAAGCTCCGGCGCCAAAATTTTGTCCCGGCTAAGTGCCATCCCAGAACCGCGGTACCGTGTACGAAGGAAAATCGCTAACTCGGAAACCAGAAAAGCTAGAAAGCTGAGATTTTGATGTTATCCCTTCCGTACACTTAGAATTCAAAGATTTCAAATTCAGTCCTCAGGTGTGCGTGGTTTTCACGTATAGCCTCGTGAGGGTTCCTGGCACGAAAATCGCTAGCAAGGGAACCAGAAAAGCTGGGGAGCTGAAATTTCCAGGGAATTTCCCAGCGTATGTACGACTTAAATTAATCAAACTCAGCCCCCGGGCGTGTATGGTTATCATGTACGGCCCCGTGAAAACTTTTAGCAGGAGAATTACTAACTCAAGAACCAGAAAATTTGAAAAGCTGAAATTTCAGCGAAATGTCTCCTGTCCAAGTACCGCATAGACAATTAACCTCCCGGACTTCGCTGATTAGTATATCACACATTTCTAGCTACTGGGTTTCCGGCGATCTCATTATAGCACGAAATATTGCAAAAACGCCTGATCGCACGTGCCCGCTCAGTGAACGTCGCCAATGATGCTCTTATTCTTTCCACTCCTATCTTCAGATACAGAACATCCTTCTTTAACTGTTTATGCATCTTTCGGAAAAAACTGGAAAAAAACTTCAAAATTGGGATGAACCGCATTCTCTGTGATTAAGAACTATCGGCCTGACCTTGTTCAAATTTTGTCGTTATGCGTTTCTGCATGTATACGAATGCTACAACACATATTTATGACGACCCACAGTGTGTGTATGTGTATGGGTGTATTCATCTTTCCGGGTACTTCTACTCAGCAACCACGCAGGCTTTAATACCGAAAATTTGCTAGTGTATTTCCGTTTCCTGGCCAAGTGCTTCCCCAAGAAAGTGATATCAATTGTCATGCACGTCCACGTTCCGCGCTTTTGCCTGCCCCCTAAGAGAAAACCACCGGCACCTGGGGGCTAAACTTGAAATCTTTGGGTTGTATTTGGACAGGAAAAAATCCCCTAATATTTCAGTTTTTCGACCATTTCGTTCCCGAGTTGGCAGTTTTCCCACCGGAATTTTTACGTACCCATGTGTAAGAGCCACGCATGCTTGCAGGCTGAATTTAAAATCATTAAGTTCTTCGTGAACAAAGAACATACTCTTAAAATTTCAACCTTCCATCTTGTCGGCTCCTGGGATCGTTTCCTCGCCAAGAAATTTGCATATTTTTTTGAGGCTTTCGTATTTTGGACTCAGGCCTACACGAAAGGTAATATTAAAGCGGAAAGGTCACACAGCGAATGAACATATACCCCCGAACTTACAGACACAACACAGACAGCGTCGTGTCATTATGCATTTCTGATTGTTGTAACAGCGCTGTAACGCTGCACAGCAAAAGTGCTTAAAAGCCCGTCAGAATAGAACCGACAACTGCTAACATTTGTTTGTTGACACAAGTATCCAGCCAACGAGCATTCCATCTTTTCGCACGGCATTGACTGTAGTGAAAATTGTTTGGTGGCCGCTTCGGCATGCAAGGTTGCGGGTGGCCGAAAGACGAATTGCTTGTAAATTTCGAATAAAGCAGGCTCTGTTCTGGCCAATTCCCCAACAAGCAAATTTTCGTTTGTTGGCACAGACAGACTGGATTGTGGTGCGAGCACTTGTTCGTCAAGCAAATCACAGACAGTTTTGAATAAAGCAGGCTCTGTTCTGAGCAATTCCGCAGCAAAATTTTCGTTTGTTGGCACAGACAGACTGGATTGTGGTGCGAGCACTTGTTCTTCAAGCAAATTTCCGGGGCAGATCGAGCGCAGTGAGCCACCCAAACCAACGTCACTGCACTCCAAAAATGCATCGCTCTGAAAACACAAAAAAATCACGATTGTTCCAGACACGGTGACTTTGGTTTTGATAGCTAAGTGTGTCAAAGCATCTGTTGTTGCGGACAAAATGGCTAGCCATTTGGAGCGAATGACTGTTTCATTTTTCACAAACTGAAAATCATTTGACGCGTTTTGTGCTAAGCACTGGCGTTTACTAAGCTTTTATGAGCCCTTTATTCCGACGTCCTGTACGGTTATATTTACAGTGCATGCACATTATATATATATATATATATATATATGTACAGACGACCTTTCGAAAATCTTTTCTGCATTTGCATAATATGAGAAAACACGTAAGAATCTTTATGTTACAAACCAAAAGCGGCTTTTCACCAGTATGAGTTCGCATTTGTCCTTGTAAGCTTATTTTTTTTTTTTTATGACAGAAGTTCAGACTGCAGTGGCCACATTTGAACGGCTTCTCACCAGTATGAGTTTTGCAATGCACCCATAAACATTCCAATTTCCCGAACCTCTTATCACATTGTATGCAGTTGTATGGCTTCTCGCCAGTTTGCTTCCTTCTTCAGCCGTGAAGTAGCAGAAAAGACTTTACCACAGTAAAACTGCACATGAGTGAGCGTCTACCGACAGTTTTATTTTGGCTGTGGCCCGCGTATTTAGTGCTTTTGCTTACCGTAGCCGATGTCGTCCAATATCCTTCCGGAGGTGGCCGGTGGCTATCAGTGTAGTTGGCTGCATCGTCCTGTACCTGATTTTTCAACTTGATTGGAATCGCAAGCTGCAAAATCGTTAAGAAGCAGTCG